ATAAAATAGGTTTCCAAAAATGAATTGAAGTTAAAAAAATCCTTTTTAAAAGAATTGCATATAAAATTAAGAGAAAATTAAATTAAGAAAGAAAAATTAAATTTAATTAAAACAGAAAAAAAATAAAATACTTTAAAAATTTAATGAATGATTAAATGATATTAGACTGCATCACCAAAAAAAAGCAAGATGGTTCCTGGTCCACGACGGGAATGGAAACGGTAGAACTGCTCTTGGACACACTTTTCACAGGGAGTTCGCAAGCAGGAGGCTCTTTACAACTTCCTTCGAGCGGGGTAGTAAACGTGCCTGTCCCAAGGGAGGGGATTGCTTGGGCGATACAAAGCTTTAAGTCCTATAAAGCGGCGGGGCCGGATGCGCCTGTTTTAAGCTAAACTACATACCGAAAGCATGGAGATTTGTCTCCGTGGTGTTTATTCCTAAAGCCAAATCCAAAGGATCACAGACCTATTAGCCTTTCTTCCTTTGTGCTTAAAATCCTAAAAAGGATAGTTAGTAAGTACATATCTTATAAACAAAAAAATGTCCAATTAAACTCTGAGTTTCTTAAACACCCCAATGTGAACGTTGACAGTAGTTCATAAACTGAAAACGTTAAACCCGAGTTAATGGCTCAGTGAGAACGTAATATTACAACATCGATAGTCGACTACTGTCTAACAATCAACATGCCTATATGAAGGTAAGTCCACGGAGACAGCGCTACATAGCCTAGTAAAGTTTATTGAAAATTGTTCAGTTACAAAGACTATTGTCTTGTAGCTTTTCTAGGCTTTGAGGCAGCGTTTAGCAATATAAGATCAGAGGCCATAATACAGGCCTTGAGGGGACTGGTGGAGTTTATAAGGAAAATGCTCTTGGGCAGGGTGATCACGGCAAACGTCGGTGAGAACTCGGCTTCAAGATATGTGACAAGGCAAACTTGGCCTAGGTGGGATCGAAAAAGGTTTCGAAGCTTATAGTCTCTAAAGAGGGAGGATGTATCTCATACAATCAGTGCTCTAACGGAGGAGGGGGAGACAGTTCTTCACCTTCTCTGAAAATGACCGGCATTATCGAGAAGCAGACTGCGATTTCTGGGGTCTCCTTTCTTTGGTGACCTTGACAAATTGGGAGATTTAAACCCTAGATGCCTGACGAGTTTCGTCAAGGATTCAAAATGGGTTAGCAAGGGAGAGTGTATACTTTTAGTCGTGGTATCACAACGGGCCTTCATTTCGTGGCCTATGTGTGTCCCTAAGCAGCAGTGGCAGCCACATCTACCTACCTCCCTATTCTACCGTATAGAAACGAAGTAAAAAATGGGCCTCATAAAAGAAGAGAAGCTCTAGGTAACTTCTTGTGGGCAGGCATTCGGAAATTGTGCTTCGATGTTTTAAGAGACATTGGAATTTAAGCAAAGCCCCATAGTAGTTCCCTCAGTCGCCTTCGCGCGGCCATTTCACCACCTCAAGGACGATTGAAGTTCTGCTCTTAATATTGCATTTCATATAAGCCTTTGATTTTTTTCTTAAATTTCCCGTCTTGGTTCTATGAAATTTTCAGTTCGACGTGCACGTTACATAGTTAGCTCACTTGAATTTTTTTTACGTAGTGGATAATTGCTAGCATTCACTATTCCTTAATATTGGTTGGTACTCAAATCACCATTGAATTGACATTCTCAGATCGATGATTTGAGATCAATGTCCCAGAATTAGATCATCCTTTACTCATGAGCACACTTTACGATTGAAAAAGGCGACATTTTTACATACCAAAAACATTTTATGGCAGGCAAGTAAGTCATAAAAGTAGATAAAATTTATTAAGGCAATAAAGTAACAAAACAAACGATAGCATTGCATTACAGTGCAGAAAAAATATATTCCACTTTGAAATCGCCTAATAATGCAACTATTTCAAAGATGAAAAATTGGTTTCTTCAAAAACAAAAACAAAAAAACAAAAAAATTCATAGCATGATGCCACATAACAAAAATAAATTTTTTGGTTAGTCAAATCCAATGACGCACCTCTTTATGCCATGGGCCGTATTACAAGCGAATGAGCAATTCTCGTAATAAAGATATGATGTTCAAGATCGCGAAATGATCGTGACATCATGCGTGTAAATTAAAAACCAATTGGCAATAAGTTTGTAAGTTAAAACCGCGACTACTCTTACGGCTTATTATGATAATAATACGCCGCCATTAGCACGCATGATGATATATGAGCCAACGATAATGGCTGAAAGTTAAAAAAAAAAACAGTAAATAACGCTATTTTTCATGCGAAGTGATGTAACACTACCCCAAACAATGAGTTAAAAATAATGCTTACAACAGAGAGGACATTTGCAAGAAAACAAAAATATCATTTAGAAATATTCATTCTTTTGTCTTCTTAGTTAGCTTACGTCAAGCGCGATATAACTTTAAACCTTTCGGACCAAATTTATTATTTGGGTTTAAAGCGCAAACAGTCAACGACGTAGAGTAGACGTAGGTTGACGCAGACACGATCTACCTTATGGGATTCGCATCTTAACGAAAACTCACCACCGCATGGTGACGTTGCCGTTGCCGTTGCTTCTCTCTCTCTCTATCTCTATCAACAGTAACGTACGTCAGCATACGTCTACGCTACGTCGTTGACTGTTTGCGCTTTTAAACTGAAAACTGAACTATCATCTTTTCTTAGAAACTCGGGAGAGATGATAGCATACGCCTAGGTGTGTAATTTTCCAACAACAACTCAGACCATTGAATTTACCTTTCAGAGCTCTGTGAACAAATACAATTTTATTTTATCCTGGATCGGCATTGAGTCAAGATAATCCTGTGATTTAAGTTGTAAAAAATTGGTTTGTGGTATTTTTGGAACTTCTGTAGAAAGATATAGACAAGGAATATAGTACTTCCATAGGTACAAAATGAAAAATATTGGCCTTTAAGCTCCAAAGGTAACGGGTGATTTTTTTGAGGTTAGGATTTTCATGCATTAGTATTATAATTAGATTCCTTCAACATAAGGCTTAAAAATTTCTTTTCAAAAATTCATATAAAATGACGCACAAAAAGTGGGATAGAAATTTTCTTTCACACTGATCCAAAGGTACAATGGATTTTTCAACCGAGATATTGGGCCTTATGCATAAAAAGTGAGCTTAAGCTCAGACTCAGTTTTTGCACTGAAAGGGTGAGCTCAAGCTCAAGAATTTGTACTGAAAATTGAATTGGAGTTTCAGCTCACTTTTTATGCATAAGGCCCATTGTTTCGTTTTTCATGGTTAATATACCGATTGTAAAAAATGTTATTCAAGTTGAACAAGTTGCCTGGCTGTAGCTGAGTATGTAGAGATGCTTACTGTTATTTGCTAATCCCGACAGAGGCAACCTGTTAAAATGATAGTAAAAAATTTTGTTTTGTATCTCCGAATTATGAAAAAGCATCTGTGAAGTGCAGAACATCAAACGAAAAAGTCGCCAACCAAAAGTTTGATTAATGTCAACAAAATTGCGGTTAATATTACCAAATCATTGTTGAAAATATCAACCAAGACATTAACCAAAAATTACGTTGATTCCTTTTCAAGTTTGAATTTGGTAATAGTTATTAGCCAATTTTTGGTTGATTTTTCTCTCAGTGTACCACAATATCGTATGCAGCTCTCAAGAAAAAAATGCTCGTATACTTTTTTTTCAGCAACAGCGAAGTATTTTCAAGCAAAAGAAATAATGAAAATATTTCTTCTGATTTTTCTTGAGAACTGCAGACGGCCCTTAACGCCAAATTTCCACTAGGCATTGAAATTACAAAGAATGTATGCCGTTTAAAAATCGCGAAAACATGTCAAGCATTTTTTTATATGGACGAAATTACAAATCGCGGAGTTGCCATCAAACAAAAAAAAAAATGCAGTTTTAATATACCAGTTGCATGTTTAGACAAATTTGTGTATTACAAAAATTTAAAAATACTTTAGTGGATTTTCATTTTGAACAGAACCGAACCATTTCTTTTAAATAATAACAGTTCGGTTCGTGGTTCGGTTTGAAGCCCGAAAAAAGCGATTGTTCGATTCAGAACAAGGGGTAACTACCTAGTACGGCGTAGCTCAACCAATTACCTCAGCGGAATTAGTTTGTTTCACCTCTGCAGCATTTAACTTCAAATTGATGCATAATCACCTATGTAGCAGCCTCATTGAGATAAACCAAATGCTTACACTTTTGATACATATCTTTGCAAATAGTTGTAAAATCATCTAACGTGTGGCAATTAACTATTTCAGAATGAAAAGTCATCTGTAAAAGAAACATACTGACATTGCATTGCTTTAAGCCAAATGCATTTTAAAGTAGTTGAAATCAAATGCAGAGTCGGACAATCGACTTGCTGCTTGCACGCAATTCAAACTGAACATTTGAAAGCACATTTACACGTAGGGCTGTACATGTATGAGCGTGCAAAGATGTTCACTACAATTGGTCACGGCCAAGAATGTCCATGTTCAAATCTCATTAGGCGGAACATTTAATTTTAAATTCTTAATTTCGGTTTATTTCAACTATGAAAAGGCATCCGTGAAGTGCAGAACGAAAGCGTAATCAAACGACTGACTTTAAAGTGCTTTAAGCCAAATGCGTTTTAAAGTAGTTGAAATCAAATGCAGTGTCGGATAATTGACTGATGCCTAGGACATCGCCATGATAAAGTCAACAGTTCGTTTCAAGGAAGAAAGTCAGATCTTCAACTAGTTGAGGTGGGTAAAAAACTAGTTGAACATCGATATTTAAACTAGTTTCCTTCCGTACTAAGTACATACAAGTGCTGCTCATTTGGCAGATATATAATTTTTGAGTCCAGTCAAGTCTAAGTTTTGCATAAATGAGCTTTCTAAGTGTAAATCAAACACAAATAAAGTGTAGTAAAAGTTCTGCCCCTTTGCTTGGTTTTGTCCAACACTGATTTCTTATAAACTCGGTATATTCCACCCTAGTTACTATCGGTAATTCTTAAGACTTTCTTAGCTGTTTAAAACTGTAATAAAAAGTTTGTTTTTTTCTCTTCAACTTACTGTGTGACGCTAGCCATTCATTATAGTCCAAGCCAGCTGGAAGATCCACTAAGGCTTTGAGATCGGCTTCAGGTAGCTTACGTTCTAAAACGCTCTCCTCCAAATATAATTTGGTATCTGTTGAATTTTGATCACCATCGCGCTCTTTACGACGCGCCTTTCTGTAAATAAACAAATAAAAAGGATATAGGCAATTAATAAAAATGTCGATAAGAAGAAATTTAAAAAATAATCTGCTGATAAAAAATAAATTTATTATTATTTAAAAAAGAACACCTGCACTAAGCGGCAGCAGAAACCACTTGAAAATATGAAAAAGTCATCAACAATATAAACGCGCCCATTGATTAAAGTTGTAAGCAGTAAATAGGGAATTAATTTTTAGAGCACTCACAACGAGTGATTTCACTTCAGTATAAGAGTTAGGGGAGCTGTTTGTGTAGCGCTGGGCAACTTGTGTAAATCACCACAATTAATGCGACACTTTGTTAAAAATAAATCTCGAGTCCGATTAAAAAGTCAATCGTACAATTGTATTGATTAGAATTGAAAGCTCGTGTATTATTTAAGAAACTCATTTATTATTTAAAGAGTGATTGGAACAGCGTAACTTCCAGAACCACCTTAGCTGTGGCAGCTGGCACCTGTTAACTTTCCACAAGCAAAAAAAGACATGCGATAAAAAATTATCAATGCGAAACATTTTCACACTCATCAATTTTGCTTAACAATTTCTTTGTTATGTACTAAACAAACGCTTTCAGGTATAGCGCAGTTGGCTGTTAACGAGTGGATTCTTTTTTTTTAATCGGGTATTTCACAGAAAAAGCGTATAAGTGGAGCCCACCGATTGATGTGCCATACGCTAATACAAACAAACCAAATTTTGTGGAAAAATAAACCCTCGTGCGGTTTTTCTACCAAAATATTCCAACTCCGATAAGTGAATAAGTACTTGTATACATAAATTTTTTCATTCGAATTTTGGGCAAATGTTTCGCAGAATAAAATATTTGATAACGTTTCAAGAAATCAGTTCGTTAGACCACAAATAAAGGAATTTTTAACAAAAAATTTATATCAAACCACAATGCTTCCAAATTTTCTTACTGATATTTTTAAGAAGATATTTTCAAGAAGAACAAAGAACAAAAAAGGAGTGCAAAAGTGACTCAGAAACTAGACTGTTCAGAGGTTCTGTTTTGCGAGGTCAAGAGGGAAATGGCTCTTAAGACATAAAACCTGCAGATAGTAAGTAATTTTTCTATTGACTTAAAGATTGGGAAATGGAGCAGGGTCACCTAAAATAATACGAGTATTTTAGTTAATACACGCTCTGGAGGACCACATCTTCTATAATAAAACTTTTCGACAAGTTTTAGCAATTCCGCTTTTACCCCACGGCTTCTCCAAATGGGAAATGAACTTGCGTCGTTGCGATTGCGTAAATCCGGTTTTGGAGGGACTTGCGACTTGTTAAGCTTGAGCAAAGCTCTGCTTCATGGTATGTTATCAATGTATTGAGTAGACTGAGGGGTTTTCCTTTCCTGTTCTTAAATGTTTCCAAAACTTTCCGAGACTGGTTTACACCCGCCAACGTTACACCACCGGCACACTGTGCTTAATTGAAGGTGTCTAGGAGGAAGAGTTGTGCTGGATCTGTCATGGTTTCTAAGAAAATAGCATTATTGAGCATTTCCATACATTTCACCTTCAACCATTATATTTATAAGTCGTTTGAGAAGTACATATCAGTGCATAGATAATTGCACATTTTAGGCATTTGTGTATCTATACAAAAAATGTAATATAGAGAACCAGCACATTTTCTCTAAACCTGCGGTCCAAAAGTTATATGCAATTTTTGCAGTTAAATCATCCCCTCTTAATTATTCGTACAGCGATTTTATAACAATAGTCGCAAATGGTTTTCATAATAAATATAGTTCATATTCTAACAAAAACTATATAAATAAATTTTCATACTGTGTACAAAACTTTATAAGTAATTTTTAAGCAAAAAACAAAACCGACTTCAATTCTCATATAAAACTTTAGGATTATCGTTAATCTCTTCATGATCCAATGAGCGGACTTAAAACAAATTAGAATGGGACCACCTGTGAGGTAACACCTTTCCTTAAAAAAAAGTATTATAGAAATCGGTTAACGTGGTACAAAGTTTTGCTGTAACAAACACAAAAAAAATATTCCGAAGAATTTCTCCTTTTTGTGAAGTCGGTTAAAAAATAAACAAATTTTGATAAAAATTTAAAAAAAGAAAAAAAAAGTTGATAAAGTGGAAGTTTTAGGTGACTAATATATGATCTATATTTTCGTGAAAAATTAACAAAATAAACATTTGCGAATATCGTAAAAAACATCACTGTACGAATAATTAGTTTGACAACTGTTTGTACTAAAAAAAAGTGATGTTCATAGATGTCACATTAAGCGCACGATCTATATGTATGAAGCAAAGTTTAGATAAACGAATCGAGTAATTTAAAAAAAAAAGTTGTGTTAAAGTTTAAACTACAATTTGTGGTTAATAAACACGCCCAATAAATATTCCGATCCTGTTACTGCTACTTCCCCTGTTCATTGCTACTTAAGACTCCACTAAATTGCCAATAACTTTCACATAAGCGTATTATCCCTCATAACTGAACATTTTCATAACTAATAATAGATATTTTTATCACTAATGCTAGACATTTTCGGCAATAAATAGTCTACCCTCTCTCCCACCACTTCATTACTTCGCCCACACCAAACTCACCCAGCTACGCAGAGTATTGTCTCGACCGAGTCGTGTGCATATCTGTATATGGTGCCGAGTGTCTCGCCGATTTTCATCGGTATCTCTGTGACCTGCCACATAAAACGCACCGTTTTTAGCAGACATTTAACCACAAACGAACCAGCTGCGTTGGCCGGAGACTTATGATGCGTGGCAATACCTTTGCGCTTTGCAGCAGATGCCGAACTTTTAACTGTTGAAGTTCCTGTAGGAGCCTCTGCCGCTTTTGCAGCCGCCGCAGTTGGCGGCTCCGATAGAGCTGAGGAATAAGTTGAGGAGGAAAAGGACGATTTGGCGCTGCCGCTACTTTCGCTGCTGGAATTGTGCGTCCAGCGGGCGGTGAAAGTGGTAACTGTTGGATTAAATGTTACCGTTGTTGAGGCGGCGCTGGTGGCAGGCGCAGATGCGGCGTACGAATGTCTGGGTATAAAAGTAGAAGTGGCGCTGGTGGCTGCCTGTAACGAGACTGCAGCTGTTGGCTGGTACGCTGGTGATGTTGTAAGTGATGGTGTAGAAAGCGTGGTGGCGTCTGCCGTCGCCGGTGGGATGAAATTTGTGGGTAGTGTGTTTGTTGATGCAGTGATGGTGATAGCGCTGTGCGGTCTAGTAATGGCGATTTCATCGGTGATTTTATTGCTGGCTCGAGGCGAAACTCATCGGAGAATATGTAGGTTGAATAAAAGTGGTTAGTGTTTCGGCTTATTTGGCACTGAAGTTGATAAACCTGTTTTTTTTTTGTATTGCGATTGTGGCAATATTTTTAAATTTACTTCGCGTTTACGGTTAAATAGGTACTTTTCGTTGGATTATTTTAATACTTTATGGTATACCTCGTACTTTCAAATTAAATTAATTTTTATGTCACACTTTTTTAAGCAATAACTAATAATTTTTTATATCAAATAAATGTTTTTTTTTCAGAGCTCACAAATATCTTTGGTATTGAGTTGCTGCCTGCTGTGATTCAGCAAAATTTTTTTATACAAGATATTCATTAAAATTTCAACACATCACCACTTGAAGCCGATTTTTATTTGGAAAAAATTCTCCCGTTCTCGTATTAAAACTTTACGCACTAAATTTTGCTCGTATTTTTCGTAAAATTTCTACGCAAAATTTCATTTAATCGTTTCTCTTCGCGCTTACGCTATTAACTAAATCGCTCATATGATTCACATAGAAAGGTAGTAGTAGAGTACAAAAAGCGAAAATAAAACCAACAAATAACAACGAGCGTTTCTTATCTCAATCACAGTCATAAAAAAGTACCGCGCTTTGAGTAATGAGGCGTCAAGAGGGCCGCGCGGCCCGATATTTTATTCCTCAGGGGCCGCTTACTTAACGCTCTAACTAAGTGTGTACAGGTTGGTTGGCAGGTTCGCAGCGCACTGAATCGAGTGTCACAAGTTGAGCAGTCATTGAGGTCTACTCCAGCCAGCCCAGTTATGTGCCCTCCTTCTAATTAATAATGGGTTGTTGTTGCGGTGGGTTGAGCCAGTCAGTCAACGAGACAGTCAGTCAGCCATTCGAAAACACACTATCAGCGGCAGGACGGCGGGCGCGTGAGTGGGAGTGACATAGTGGCACAGAGCGGGTGGAGAAACGGTGTCGTCGATGTGGGAAAAGCGTCGCGTACTCATGCCTATCAGTAACTACTTTGTATATTTAGTAAATATGCATGTATGTATGTACATATATCACAAACATGGTGACATATACGCATGGTAAGGCACGACTAAACGATAGCTATAGCAAAAACAAAAACGAAAACGAAAACATTCACACGACCGTTGTACCACATGGCGTATGGGTAATCTTTTTGCGTTTGAAGCCATTTTTTTGTACTTGTTTGCGGTTTTAATAAAAAATAGCGTGGTCGGTCATCAGCAACAATCACCGAGCTACTGCCACAGCACACGAATTTCCTCTTCCATGCCGCTGACCGTGAATATGCGCGCTTGAGTAGTATTTGTATGACCATGCCAATGAATGTTATATATTGACATACCATCAACTTTAACATGCAGTATTATACGAGTATTAGACGAACATAAGTGCTACAATTACGCGAAAAAAATAACAAAAAATAAGCAAAGCACATACACTAGACGACAAATTAATGTTTACAACTTCTAATACAATATTCGTTTCCTTTTCAGGTCAAGATAACCGTTACGGTTTCGGGTTTGATTTTGAAAAAGGAAATGGTTTTAAACGGTACGTTTTCGGTTTCATTCCTTGATAAATAAATTATTCCAAATAAACCAAAGGGTTACACTTTTTTATAAAGTTCACAAAAATTCAAAAAAATGTGATAAAATTTTCAACTTTTTATTCAGAATTTCTAGAAAATTTTCTAGCATGCAGTTTTTAGCCCATCCAATTTTAGTCTAATGAAATGGAAGTTTCAAACAGCACACAAAATCGGGTCGGTTTTTATGATATATATATATTTTACTTCTTTTATTTTTTTGAGACGAATTTTTGCACTTTTTTCCATATGGCATATGAAATAAAATGCGGCAGACCGTTAGCAAAAAAATTTCACGAACATCAACGCCAGTTTTTGTAAATTGCAGTTGTTTACATATAGAAGAAGCTTGTAAAAAAAAAAACGCAAAAGCAGTCTCAAAAAACAACGCGATTTTGTAGCCGGTTGAACTTCCACCTCATTAGACTAAAATTTGGGTGCGCTAAAAAACTGCATACTCGGAAAATTTTCAGAAATTCCGAATAAAAAGTGAAAATTTTATAAATGTTTGTAAACTTTATATAAAGTGTGTAACTTTGATTTACATGGTTTATATTATAGCATGAACTATATATTCAAAAATAATTAATGCAAAAAAAAATGCATGAAAGTCATTGTGAATTATATAGAACAAGGTGTACACTTTCATTTGTCGCCTGGTGTAAACGCATGCAAACAGTACACAGACGGAAAAATATACATACAGGGGCATACTTGTATGTGTCTCAGACAATCTCGATCAAAATTTTAATGGCAAAGCTTAAGCGACGTTAAGTGTAGGCTGTATGTTTTTCTGTTCTTCTTGTTTTTTTGTCTTTGTTTTTTGCTTGTCGTATCAGCACTATAGCACAATGTCGCACTTGCTTTCGGTGTTTTGGCAATTTTTTTATTGTTGTTTTTTTTGCTTTTATCATTCTTCATGTCATAATAACTTTTTCCTCCATTTTCGGTTCTGATAAGCTGACGATAAATCATCTGCCATTTGCACTCAATTAAGGGCGAGTGACTTCGTAAAAAATATCTTTGTTTAAGCAAAATTTACGCAGTAAGTACAAAAGTGCAAGATAATATAATAGGTTTGGTATTTTCGATTGTATAGCAGTAAATATTAGGCTAGGTTGGGTTTTATAGGGTTAGGCCAAAGTGGCTGCGCAAAAATTTGGCCACAACTTCAGTGCTTTGTGACAGTGCTACGAATGGTTACAGTCCCGATTACTTCTCAGACTAATTAAGAGGTAGGATCTAAGGTATTTAGATAGCATTTCACAAAAGGTGGTGTTGAGTGAGGTGGAGTGAAGTGTGTTGAGATGTTCCACCTCAGTGTCCTCCATACAGCATCGACTGTGAGAATTCAATCAGGCAGTACACTGTCAATACACGCACCAAAATTGAGTGTTGCGTCTTTGTGAGCCTAAAAGATCCATTGGCCTGCTTTTCGCTCAATTCTCGGTGAGCTTTTATTAAATAAAATCGTAAAATAAATGAAATTTTACGTAGTGTATCAAAATAAAGAGATTTAAAAAAGCTACTGCCGAAAACATTTTTGAGGCAGGTCCAATATTTGAAAAAATTTAATTTAGTTAAATTGATAACATAAGCCAAATATGGTTATCAAACGAAAGTATTTGAGCAGTCTTTGATTTAGAAATATATTCAAATAGCAAATAATCCGCATACTTTCCAGCGCCTTCAAAGTATTTTCGTTTTGTTGGTTTGTTGTTTTATAAATGAGACCATACAAGTTTTGTGAGGGAGTAACGACACAAAAATACTTGTAAGGCGCAATGAAGCACGCTGGGTATTTGCTAGTTTTTACTTGTTTAGATAAGAAAACAAATTTTCAATTACGGGACAGGCGCTTTTCCCGCTACCATTTGGCACTTTCGACAAACAATACAAGTTTTAGACACCGCTAATTACTTTGTTTAATCTACGAAAGAGTGTCAACGATTCCAGTGAAATAATTTCATCAACAATGGAACATTTTATAGTTTTATTATATTTTTCTTAGCTCAGTGAAGCTTTGAATTCAACAACGTATGTACATATGTATGCACATTAGACTGCATCACCAAAATAAGTNTTGCAACATTTTTTCTTCTTCTTCCATTCTTGCTCACGTTTTGGCATTTCTCTCTCGCAATTGCACCAGTGTGACGTCACACAAAAGTTATTCTCAAAAATCCTCTCTGATCGGCGCAATCTTGTATTCTATCATTCTTGGTACATACATACATATATAACTGTGACAACATTAAGAATGATGCATACTACATTTATACTTTCAGAATAAGCAAAACCTCAACTGGATGGCAGAGAAAATGATTGTTTAAATCAAAACCAGCTGTCAGCGAAAATGTAAATAAACAACAGCAGAGAGTGTAAACATAGAAACATACATAGAATGCAAATCTTTATTGACCCAAACAACAGGGAAATAAAAAAGCATTTTCAGAATAAATGTTTACATTACCCTTGCTTTTTTGACATAATGTTTATCTATATGGATTGGCGAAATGTCAATCGGCATGAAATCAACAGCAAGTTTTTTTTTTTAATCAACAGCGATGTGCTAAAAAGCCACACGATTTCGCCATTTGTACTAATAACAATAAAGTAATTGCAAACAGTAAAAAGAAAGATGAGAATATTGTATGAACACAATATGAGGCACTATGAGTAAATGAAGGAATTCGATCGCAGAAAAAAAAATTACGATATTTACTCAGGCGTGCGAATTGCGTAGATGAAAGGTTAAATTTATTCATTTTCACAAGCAAATAACATAAATGCGAGGAAAAATAATAAATTAATGCGAAATGTTATTTACATTGATTTTTATAAAATCAGCAGCGCCTAATTAAGGCCAGGCGAATTAATGTGATTGAAAGGCGATTTAATAGGTTTTATTTGTGTTAGGTTGAAAAGAGAAAGGTAAAAATACATTTTCAAAGTTCTCAAGCGAGCTTTACTTATATTTCTGCGCTGCTGAGGGAAGCTCGTTATAAGAAATTTTTTATTGCATATAGATGCGCAAATCTCGCGAGTTGTTTTTTAGGGTCACTCTTTTCTCTCGCCAAAAGAAAAAAAAAACAACTAGAGCATTCTTCTTGCACTTAAATCAATCAATGGAGTTCCAGAAACAATAAAAAATAAATCAAATATATATTTGAACAATATTAGCCTTAAAACGTTTATTTTGGCGAAAGAGTTCGGAAGTTACTAATTTTTTTATTGTCACACGAAAAAATATTAGACTTTTTTCTTTTTAAATAACTTTTTTAATTTTTGAAATTTAACGATTTTTCCATCATTAAAGTTTAACATACTTTAAAATGTCAACATTAAACAAACATATCTAGAGTAATAAAACTAGTGTGCCTTCAAAGGACAAACATTAT